CCTTTTCATCGTATACTATCAGTGCTAGAAAAATATGAATACTCTTTCTGTCTGTATTCTTTCTGTGTTTGTTTGTTTGTGTATTTGTGTGTATTCATGCATGCAGCAAGGTGTACATGCAGCAAAAAGTGGCAATTTGTTTCTTTTTTCTTTCGTCTTACTGATGAAAATGTAGCAGGAATTTCTATACTGATTATGCCAAGAGGCTTCGCCGCTTATTCCGAGCCGCAATTCCTCTGCATTGAGTCGTTGCACTGCGTTGATGTTGCTGAACGCCCCAGTAACATTCAGCGACATCGTAGGAAACCTCGAGGAAAAGAGCGGAGAAAGCCGCCAGAAAAAGGATAAAAAGAATTAATTTATAAAAATTATTTAAATCGTTCAAAAAAAAATCCTCAAGAGCCGAAATCGCAGCATTTCCAGCCGCATTTCGCTCGTGCTCCTCCGGTGTATATGCAGCTCAGCGGAAAACAGCCAACACCAAACATCCCAGAACAAAAGAAATAAAAGGAAAATAAAAAGGAGGAAACCGCAAAAATATTATTTCGTCGGAGCTCGTGAAACTCTTTCTGAGAAAAGAAGAACAAAGAGGAAACTCGAAGCTTTCAGATCATCAAAGAAGTTGAACTTTCGGCATTTGTTTCTCCCGCAAAATTCCTTAAGAAATATTAATTTAATTTTGAATTCTTCAGTGATTTTTCTCTAAATTACCCTCAATACTCTCTTGGGGCTGTACAGAAGCCACGGCTGTCGTCGCTACTGGCTGGGGGGCCCGCCGCTGCGGTGGTGTTGCCTTCGCTCCGAATTAAACAATTGAGCTAAGAAATTCTATTTTTTATTTTCGTAATTTGAAATGAAGGTTTTGCATTAAAGGTGTGCATACACCTCAGGCTAGAGGCAGCAGCAGCAACAGCAGCAACAGCAGCAGCTGCAGCAGACGCAGCAGTTGCAATATGAGGTATTTCCCAGCCTCTCTCTCTCTCGCACAGGCCAAGAGGAACCCAAACTTATAAATTTTCACAAATATTAACTCTAAATATTAAATGCAAATATAAAAATAATTTATAAAGCTCAAATATTCATCAGCTCAACTCGCACAGTTTTGCATCTTTCTTCATCACCACATTCCTGCTGAAATATATCAGCTTGGTTCAAGCTGCAGCAACAGCAGCAGCAGCAACAGCAGCAGCAACTCTAGTAGCAACAGCAGAAACAAGAGGAGCAAACAACAGCAGCAACGGCAGCAGGAACTACAGCAGCAAACGCAACAGAAGCGTAAGCAGCAGCACCGGGCGGCGCTGGCAGCCGCAGCACGAAGTAAAGCAGCAGCAATACAAGTAACACAAGCAACAGAACCTGTAGCATCAACACCAGCAACAGCAGCAGCAACAGCAGCAGCAACAGCAGCAACAGCAGCAGCAGCAGCAGCAGCAGCAGCAAAGATGGGGCATCAGCTCCCCCAACCGTTTCTGGGGGAAGGGATATCGCCAGAGATTGCGGATTTGTATGAAGAGGCTATTCAAGGTGAATCCTTTATCTTCTCTGCCTCTCTTTTTGTTTATTCTTTCTTCATCGTCCTGCCTGCAGCAGCAGCAATGGGCTTCCGCTGCTGCTGCTGCTGCTGCTGCTGCTGCTGCTGCTGCTGCTGCCCCTCCTCTTGCCGTTTTGCATGATGTATGTGGCGGGGCATTCATCCGCTGTTTATCTGGCTGCGTAATCGCAGCGTTTTAGGGTTTAGGGTTTAGGGTTTAGGGTTGAGGGTTTAGGGTTTAGGGTTTAGGGTTTAGGGTTTGTTGNTTAGGGTTTAGGGTTTAGGGTTTAGGGTTGAGGGTTTAGGGTTTAGGGTTTAGGGTTTAGGGTTTGTTGTTTGCGTTCTCAGCGACGATCTCCCAATGTCAATTGCTACAAAACAACAAAGTTCTTGCCGCCATAGAAAAGGTCATACATGGGGTTTAGGGTTTAGGGTTTAGGGTTTAGGGTTTGGGTCCCTACATCTCTTATTTTTCGCGTTTTTGTTTCATTTTCTGCTCGCTGCAATCGTCAGCAGTAGCAGCGGCAGGAGCAACAGCATCAGCAGCAACAGCAGCAGCAGCAACAGCAGCAGCAGCAACAGCATCAGCAGCAACAGCAGCAGCAGCAACAGCAGCAGCAGCAGCAGTCATTTGTGCTCTGTTTTGCGTCCCCGTCTTGTGTTGGTTTCTCTGTTTTCTCTGCTTCTTTTTTCTCTTCTTCTGTCCGCCTTCAACTGCATGCGTCTATTCCTTGTGTTGCTCTAGGGTTTAGGGTTTAGGGTCTAGGGTTTAGGGTTTAGGGTTTAGGGTTTAGGGTTTTGGTGTTTTGCTGCTGCAGCAATGGCGGCTGTCTCTGCGGCGAAAGCAACTCGAATTTTCTAAGGCTGCAGCGGCTCCCCCCCCCTCGGTGGTGAGCTATATCTCTCTGTCTCTGTCTCTGTCTCTGTTTCTTCATTCGTTTCTTTGTTTTTGTTTATATTTTTATTTATATTTTTTCCTTTAATTTGCCTTTTCTTTTTCCTTGTTTGTACGTCTGTCTGCTGTTTGTCTCGTTTCTCTTTTTTCTTTTTGTTTTTTTGTTTGTTCGTCTTTTTATTGTTTTGTATTTGCTGCTCCTTCTTCTCTTTAACTCGTGCTGCAGGATACTGCTGCAGCAGCAGGCCAGAAGCCAGCAGCAGCGCCAGCAGCAGCAACAGCAACAACAGCAGCAGCAGCAGCAGCAGCAGCAGCAACAGATGCAAACGTCTCCGCCTCCAGCTCATCGGAGCCGCAGCAGAGCGCTGCGTCGATGCCCACCCCCAACAGCGCACAGTTCGTTTATTGTTTGCTGCTGCTGCTTGCTGCCGCTGCTTCCTCCTGCTGCTGCTTGCTGCTGCTGCTGCTTGCTGCTGCTTGCTGCTGCTGCTGTTGCTGCAGCACTCGTGCGTTTGTTTATGGAGGTGATGGAAAGCAGGCAATTCCTTCGTGGTTGGGGTTTCTGCTGTTTTTATTTTTTTCTTTTTTTGTTTTCGTCTGATGCGCTTTCTCTTCTCCTCGCGATGTCTCCGTGTCTGTGGTTGCAGCAGTTTTATGGTTTGTATTCTCCGTTTGTTTTTTATTTTTATTTTTTTTTGTTTTTCTAAATTTGCTTTTGCGTTTGTATTTGCTTATTCGGTTTTTCGTCTCTGCGTTTTTGTTCATCTATTTTCGTGTTTCTCTCTTCCGTCCCCTGCCTACATATATATATATATAAATGTATATTTAATATACAATTTATGTTTGTTTTTGTTTTTATTTTTCTTTTTTTTTGTTTAGGAGCGCGGAAGGGCCCTCCGCTATTCCCTCCGCTGAGCTGCAGCAGCAGACGGGGCAAGATACGGGTAACCATGAATTTATTTTTTTTATATTTGCTGTTTTACTTTTTTGTTTGTTTTCTTTTGTTTATTCGTTTATATTTTGTTTGTTTTCTTGTGTTTGGTTGTTTTCTTATACGCTTATCCCGTTGCTTTCTTTCTTAGGTTTGTTTGTTCAGCTTTGTTTGTTCTTCTCGTTTGTTTAACTTCGCTTTTTTAGTTTATTTGTTGCATTTGTTTATTTAACTTTGTTTGTTTGCTGTGCTTTTTGTTATCTTTGAAATTCAACAACAGTAGTAGCAGCAGCAACTGCATCAGCAACAGCAGCAACAGCAAGACCATCAGCAGCAACGGCAGCACCAGCAGCAGCAGCAGCAGCAGCAGCAGCAGCAGCAGGTGTTTTTGTTTGTTACTGTGCAGATGACGAATTCGCTGATGCGGATGTAGATGAGGCGGAGGACGGGGGGCAGCCTTTTAATCCTTTGTCTTCTGGTGCTGCTGCAGCAGAAGCAACACTTGCTGCTGGTGCAGCTCAAAACACACCCCTGCAGCAGCAGCAGCAGCAGCAGCAGCAGCAGCAGGAGCAGCAGCAACAGAAGAATCGCCGCAACAGCACTGAACAAGATGAGAGCGGTAAGCACTTTCTGTGTTTTTATTTTATCGGTTGTTTGTTGTACTCTTTACCTGTGGCCGAACACAAACAAATATATTTTTTATTTTATTTTATTATTCGTTGTTTATTTTGCTTTATTTGATTATTTTCACTTGTAGAAATGCTTTTTATTTTTTCTTTTTTTGTTTTGTTCATGGTGTGTGTGTATGTTCCCTTTATTGAATTTGTGTTGTTAGTGTTGTTGTTTCGGCTGATCTATCCCCCTTTTTAATTATTTTTGTTTGTATTGTTTGTTTTATTATTTTATTTTTTATTTTTAAAAAAAGAAGATGAAGAAGAAGGAGCAGAACTCACCGTTGATGATGTATCTGACCTCGACGATGCGGAGCCACCAACAACCGACGCAATTTTCGCTTTCTTTGAGAAGGTTTGTTTTTTCTTTTTTTTTTGTTTTTCTTTGTTCCTTTTGTTGTTATTTTTATCTTTTTCCTTGCGTTTTTAATGTATTTTAGTTGTTTATATTATTAATTTTTTATTTTTAATCGTTTTCTTGTTGATGGTACTTATCGGCATTTTACTCAGTTCAATACTTTTTCATTTCATCGATGCTTTCTTTATTTCACTGCCATTTTACTTATTTTTCTGTTTTCTTTTTTCTATTGCTCCAAATTACTTATTGTTTTCTTGTTCGTGTTGTTTCTGTTTTGCCGTTTCTATTGCCCTGTGTACTCATTTCATTGTTATTCTCCGCATTTCGTTGTTTTGTTTACGTTTCGTTTGTTGCTATTTCTCCTCATTTCATTATGTTTACTTTTATTTTGTTGTTATTTATCCTTCATTTGTAATATTATAGTTCGGTTAAGCTGCACTTGCTCTTTGCCTGCATGGTGTGGTTGTCTTAGTATTATATTTACTACATATATGAACAGGAATGCATCACGCGTGTCGTTTTCATTTGTTTTATTTATTCTATTCTTGTTTCATTAATTTATTATTTTTGCAAATATACAAATATATTAAAGCTATGTTCTGTTCAAAGGTAGAGAGGGCCTCTTCTGGTGCTGCACGGCGCTGCAGCAAGTGGAAGGTATCTCTTAGACACGGCATTCTTAGGGTGAGTTGTTGGTTGTTTTCTTTTTCTTTTTTCTTTTTCTTTTTTCTTTTTCTTTTTTCTTTTCTCCTTTGTTTTGAAAACGTAAATTCTCTCCCTTTAGAGGCAAAGGAGAGAGAGGCATCCATTTTATATGAAACTTACAGGCATTTCCTGCTTTATGTACACACACACTGCTATATCTGCACGCTCACACATACTCATATGCCATACTCATATACCTCAGTATATATATACATATATATATATATATATATATATATATACCGCATAAGTTGGCGAGTGAACATTTCTGTTCAGGTTGGTGGCCGCGAAATTCCGTTTGATCGGGCGACGGGAGAATTTTCGTTTTGAAATGGCATCACAGCGCAGCAAGCAAACAAAGAGGATTAAACCCAAAACAAATGCAGGCACAACTGTCTATACACAGAACTAACTATATATATATATATATATATATATATATATATATATATATATATATATATATATATATATATATATATATATAGCCGCAGGAGGTGTCCAAAGAAGCCGGCAGTGCTGCTGGTACTGCTGTGCCGGCGTCTTAGTTTATTTCGTGCATATCTGTGTGTACATATAATCATATATATTCGTTTATCTAATGCATATTTGTTTGAGCTTAATAATTTGCATACTTATATAAAATATTATTGTATTGTATTACAACGCACAAACAACTAGGAGAGGAAGGATCGGCCCATTCACCCTATCCACATCTCCACAGGAAATTTGTTTCAGCAAGCGATACAAAAAACAACTGTTTTTTTGTTCTTCAATACAGCCCCCTTTTGTTTATATATTATGTATTTTATTATTATATCTATTTACTATATTATATTTATTTTGTTTTTTTAGGCTGTCGTACATGAATATAATAGAGTCAATATAACTCCGTGGCATTTGAATTCTGAAAGAGTAGAAAATATAAAATTTCTTTGTGGGTAACTTTGCTGCTGAAAATTCGAGCTGTATGTACACCCGGTATTCGTGTTTTCTTTCCGTTGTTTTTTTTTCTTTTCGTTTTAGTTTACCCCTAAACATGCTTTGACAGCCCCGCGAGCACCTCAGAGGATGCCGCGAAGACGCGGTGGCGTTGTAGAGAGCAGAAACCAAAAACCTAATGCACACAAAGTCAATGGGGGGCCTGATTTGTTAAACATGAAACAAGTAGACAGTAGGTGAGAGAGATCAACTGAGAAGAACACAAAAAAAAAAAAAGAAACAACAGCTAGCAACACAACAACACCTGATGCGGGCGCCTCTTAACTTACTTCCTTTGGCCCTCTCTGCGATATACTAACGGCATATTTTTGAACAAATGCAAAAATATTACAAATAACGATTCAAGTTTTGCTCAGCCCCCAGGAGGAGTGCCTGAAGGAGAGCCAGCGGCTGAGCTGTCGCTGCCCCTCACAGGAGATGATGGTGCGCAGCAGTGGAGGTGCCCATACACCCGACTGCGCCCTCGTCCTAAAGCTGCTGCAACAGCATACCAAGCTGCACCTACTACAGCCTCACAGCCTGTGCGGTGTGCTCTAGATGGCTGCAGTGACAGCGCCAACCAGCAACGCAGCAAGCGATACGGGAGGCAAAGAGACGGTATCTGCTTGGGGTTTCCTACAAATAATCAAGACCTTCTGCTGAGCGCCTGCAGGCAGCTTTCGTCTGCTCGTCTGCTGCTGCTGCTGCTGCCGAACTGCACACGGAGTTCCATTGTTTGGGGGGGGTAAATCAAGAGGAGAAAGAGAAAGGGAATCTAAGTCGGCAGCCAACGCCACCAATCCATGAGCGACCTTACGCTCAAAGCCCGTCAGCCGCCACAGCAGCAGCCAGTCTCTCTTCTCCCCTGCAGCTGAACCGCCTGCTGCTGCTTGCTGCTGTAGCCGCTCCACACTCTCGAGGAGATGCAGCTCATCAGCGGACAGAGAAGCCTTCGTCATGGCCTCAGTTTTCGGCAGCTCTGAATCCCTGTTCAGACGCACACATCGCAAGCTGCTGCTTGTGTTGCTAGTCCTGCTGCTGTTGGTGCTGCTGCTGCTTGTGCTGCTGCTGCTGCTGCTGCTGGAACCCTTGCTGCTACCTATCATTGGGCTGCTGCCTGTTGGGGACCCCCCGCTGCTGCTGCCGCTATTTAGAATAGGCCTTCGTCTTTGTTGTTCTGTTGCTTTTGCTGCTTCCGCCGCGTTTTGCTGCAGCAGCTGCTGCAGCTGCTGCCTCAGACCCCCCTTAACAGCAGCAAGCGAGGTATACGCTTGGCGAATGGCGTTCTCGATAGCAGCACTGAGACAGAAGAAAGCTGCAGCATCTCGAGTTATTTGTTTCATGGGTCTAAATGCTGCTCTTAAGGATTTTATGCGCTGCACTGACGGCAGCAGCTGCAGCTCAGACCCGGCCATCTGCTGCAGCAGCAACCGCTGCACCTCGAGTTCCCGTGCGAGAGCAGAAGCAGCCGAAGACGTTGCTCCTGCTACACCTGTAGCTGCCAGTGCTGCTGCCGCTGCTGCTGCTGCTGCTGCTGCTTCTGCTGCTGCTTTGGGAGCAGACTCTGTGTCTGTACCGCTGTGTTCACTGTCTGACACTGCCTGCCGCAGCAACTCCGAATGCCTCAACCCGTCTACAGAAGCTGCTCGCAGTGACGGCCTCCCCATCTGCTGCTGCTGCTGCTTCATAATCTTAAGACAATGGGATTTTCGCTGTAACAGCGGATCCGGCAGCTGCTGCTGCTGCTGCTGCTGCTCCTGCTGCTGCTGCTGCTGCTGCAACTTGTCGGTGTCTTCTCTCTCTGGAGACGACTCGGAGTGCGCCCCTGGGGGCCCCTCCCAACCCCCTTCTTTCCTCTTGATGTACAGCTCACGCGCTACGGGGTCTGCCTGCAGCAGCTGCCAGCATGACGGCTGCCGCGGGGCTCCCCACATTTCTATTCTTGCGTCGCAGGGGTCGTCGCCTGCTGTGAGGATGAGGCGGCGCAGCGCAGCCACCAGCAGCTGCTGGTGAAGCCAGCGTCTTTGTTTGTGTCTTCCAGGCTTCCTGCTTCCGCTTCCTTCACTCTCCTGCTGCTGCCTCCTGCTGCAGCGAACTCGCACACGATGCGCCTCCTCACCTGCGCTGCTGTTGCCCGCATCGGTGGTGCCGGTTGTCAGTCCGTCTGCTGCTGCCGTTGTTGCTGCTGCTCCTGCTGCTGCTCCGTGCCGATAGCCACATGGGATAGCACCTGCAGCGGCTCCTCTGTCTTTCGTGCTGCTTGGCGGCTGCAGCTGCCACCTCACGCGTCTGTCCGTTGCCTCCGCCAGGATGCGAGGAATGCGGCCTCCTGCTGCAGTTTCCAGAGAAGCTTCTGTGTCAGAGAGGCTCCGTGCTGCCGCAGCAACGCGCGCTGCAGCCTCAGCCCTTAACGCTTCGTTTGGGGGAACCGTAGGCGTAATGAACTGCTTCTCGATTGGGAGGCTGTTGCACGAGGATGAAGGCGAGGAAGCTGTAGGGGGTCCCCCATGGCCCACAGGGCCCCTGCATCCCGGTTCTCCTGGCGGCACCTGTGGCGCCATCTGCCGCTAAAGATGTATTTCACTGCTGTATGCAGATCTTCGGCGAGAAGACAGATCAGAAATCGGGAATGCGAGGCACCCTCTGTTGCTTCTTATCATATTCACAACCCCGCAGACATCGTCGCCTGTGGGCTTGAAGGATGCAACTGTTTTGGGGGTGGTTCTTCTGAATGGCGTGAAGGCGGAGTGAGGGTCCGTTTCTGGAGAGTTTCTCTGCGGCGATTAAATTGCCGAACTAGGAACTGCATACACAGACAACAACATGAAGCTGAAGCTAAAATCTACAAAGTCAGTCCTCCACCATGTTAAAAAATACACAGAAGATAAAAGTATGAAAATTTGCAACTTGAAATCTCGGAATGGATGCCGGACGTAGGTAGCTAGGGGCTGGCGGCTGGCAAGCCGGACGCATGTAAACGAAAGCGGCTCATTTCTGAGGATGAGAAGAAACAAGTGAAGGGAAAAATATATTTTAAAAGGAAAAATTCATTACTTCACTTTATAACATCTTCGAAAACTGCACTGTCAGTGTTGTTTAGCTTCTTAAGGAGCAAACTTCAATACTGATGTGGGATGATCATGGCTTTTTTTTTGTTGCCGTTCAGCACAAGCGGACCTCCAGATTAGGAACTTCCACTAAATTTGCTTGCTTTTATTTCAGCAAAAATAAAATAAAGAGAAGCAAATTAATATTCCACCGTCTCCTGCGGAGTCCTAGCTCTTTAACCTCAATGCTGCTGAAACCTGCAAAGCGAAAGCGTAGCTGCACAGACAGAGCTCTCCATGCACAGCCAAGCGAAAGGCACACTTTAACGCATCATGATGCTTTAAATATATATATGGATGTGTGGTATACACTATTGCTTCTTGACTCTGTCTGTGGCTATAAGAAAGCTGTGCTGCGATGCGCACTTCTTTTGTAATTCTAACAAGGGATTTCCTTATTTCTTTATTCTTTAGTTAATAGATGCCCATCTGTTTTTTTTTTCTCCATGCACCCCGCGGAGTACGGACGGCTTCAACAAAAAGCTGATGCTTATCTTCTGGGGTCGCTTCCCGTATAGCTGTGGCGTCAATCCGTACACAAGCAATTCTTCAAGCATTCCTGTCTGTCACATCTACATACATACCTTATGCATCTTATTAGTATCGCCTTGCTGTCTATTTTTGTGCAGTATTACTTTTATTTATCTCGATTCAGACAATTTCATGCTAATGTGGTCATCTGTCGAATAAGGACTTCTGTATCAGCAGAAAATCCAATGTGCATGAAAAAGACAAATGGCAATGCTTAGAGGCAGTGAACTCGCCTTACTATCACTACTATTATTAATTTGTGTCACTACACTATTATTAATTTGTGCCACTATTAGCAATAGTAACGCAGGAGTTCAATAATGGTCATAATAACAATAGGAATAATCTTACTATCACTAAACCTTCGCTTTGCTTCTATCATGCCATTAAGATATAGCCTTTATGGTCGTTGCTACAACAGCTGTCTACACACCGGAGTTCCTCTACGGGGATCAAGCGACGGACAGAGGCGCGCAACAACATATATATCTGGTACGTTTCTCGCGTTTTCTCTGTAACTGGATGTGTGTTCTTCTAGACTGCAGTTGACGTTCGATACACTGTATAGGAGATGAGAAGATCGCATATATATCAATTTGTTTGTAGTTTAAACAAATATTGTACGCATTAATTCGCCCCGCTTTAATTTCCTATTTCTTCTTCACTAGCGAGCGGCGGCTACACCTCTGAGAGGAAAGCCATATTGCGTAGACGTGCGTGACTAAAACAATTTTGAACATAAAAAAGGTTTTGTTGCATTTTAGATGCTGTTCATTGCGGAAAACTAACGAACCAGCACATAACCGCACAAACGGAGAGCCATCGGGACGCGTTCCGTATATATGTATATATATACGAAATAGTGTATATTCATACTACATACGAGCAAAACTAGCATTGTCTGCCCATTGTTTTATTCGCCAACGACGAGTAAAATTATCTGGTGGTCTCCGTGACAGCTTGGGAGGCAGGCGGGCCCGCAGGCGTTTTGAGCGATGAGTCGTCCTACGGGATATTCATCGAATGGAAGAAATTAAATATTCATCGAATATTTCATTTCTTCCATCATTTGGTGGTGGGCTGGTCAACCTGCATTTGACGATATTACTTATTTTTGCTGCTTCGCTTAACCTGAGCCTTTAGGACTTTGAACTCCTCCATAGAATGCTCTTGCAAGAACCGATGTTTCTGCCATTTGTACATGCGTTTAACAAATTTAAGGTATTTCCGAGACGCCGTTGAAGGAGGGCGACGCGGCCAAGTTATTATCGAGTCAGAAACCAAAGGACTACCAGACAGAGCCTGGCAGTGCAACAACTGCTGCTGTTGCGGCTGCTGCAACAGCCGCTGCTGATCCTGCTGTTGTAATTGCCATTGCTGCTGCCCTTCCTGTTGCAGCTGCTGCAGTGGCCACCGCTCCTGCGCTGGCTGCAGTTGCTGATGTTGTCGCGTCTCGCTTTGCTGCTGCTGCTCCCTCAGTTCTGTTTCCGCGGCGTCATTGTCCCTTTCGTCATCAGCTGGATCATTATTGCCCACATCAGTAGAGTGGGCCGAGTCGAGTTCCGGTTGTTCTTCGTCGTGTGTCTGGGACCCAGAGAGAAATGCAGCAAATATTTCTTTTTCTGCGCAGTATTCCACTTCATACAAATCGTCCTCGCAGCGGCGGGCGGCGTCAGATTGCCGCTTCTCTGTAGTGTGCCTCATCGTCACCTGAGTCCCGCAGTGCGGACCACCGACGGGGGAAAGAGTACTACTTGAAAACCGGCTATCAAAAAGTCAAAAAGGAAATTAAAGAGGCGAAGAATGCGCGAAGAATAAGGTTAGCACTTAATAAAATAAAAAAGGAGCAGAATTCTCATCTCTAGTGTCCTTCATGGGCAAATCGATTCGCTGCGTCTAGCTGACGACTGAGCGAACCACCGCCGCACACCCTCGCAGCCTTGCAGCTGATGGCCAGGAATCGTTTCTAAGAACACCCAATATAGGAATTCATATACCTTGGCTTAGAGCTTTTGCAGATTTACACACTCGTAGCAAGTGCTTTGAGCCAACGAAACAAATGCCCACGACTGCTGCCGCCGAGAAAGCATCGCGACCGTCAGTCGTCTCCGTCATCTGTAGCCATCAAGACACGATGCTGAATTCTTTTTCATATTTAAACATGTTTTAATTTCAATTACGTAAATCATTTACTAACAAATATACAAAAGAATTCTCTCCAGAAGGATAACCAGCACACACTGCGAAGCAGTGTTCATTGCCGTGCTGTCGATACCAGAAGTATTTGGCGATATTTGCTTTGCCCCACGTTCCAGAAACATGAGGAGTTTGAGGTATTAAATAAACCTTTTTCGTTTCATCCACTGCACGACCACGCACTGTCTAGAACTTGCACACGACGCAGGGCCGCACTGGGAGTGCTGGTGGTCTAGTGGTTTCAATGAACAGTTTCAACGGTTGCCGTGACTTCTCCGCCCTTTTAATGGAAGCATAATACATTAAGAATCAGTTAAAGGAGTAAATACAGAGCTACAAGCTGTTCAGCTGGTTGACGGCCAGGCTTGAGTGCGCAAGCAAACTGGACAGAAGATAAGGCAATCGTGCCAGATAGCCAGGATCTGGGGCTGGCTGTGAGACTGGCAGTTGCCGAGGCGTTGATCCGCAAGAGTTCAGCAGGGGGGTAAATCATTACTCTTCCTAATTCTAAGTGGATTGGACCAAAATTAAACTGTTCCGTTATGTTGTAACGTTATTTTAAGGGCTATGCGCTGAGTGTATCTCGATTGTGCACGAGTAGGTATAAATGCTCTAAGCTTCCACTGCTTGCCGGTCCAATTGTTCACTACACACGGCATGAGCCAATGGGATATCCAGATACAGCATTGACGCACGCCGTGACTAGTGGGCACTGCTCTAGTGAACAATGCTCTAAGCTTCCATTTAGAATACAAAATAATACATACTACAAATTGCCTGCGTAAACCATTAGTATAGCACAATATAGCATAAATAATATGGCGTTCATTATTCAGCGTTAAGCACTGGATTACACGACGCAAAAGAGGATATTTCGTCTCAAACAGTGCTCTAGTTCGGTGATAGTGATATCCGGTAGTTCAAGACGCTGATATTTGCATACAAAGCCCAAATAACAATGTTGGCAGAATAGATAAACCGAATACATAAGCAGCAGATTACACAAGCACAGTAAATGAAAGGAATGCATAAACATAATGCATACACAGAATGCTAAATAGCAAAATAGCGGGCGAACGCACGCATAAACTGATCGTGCTCGCTGACTTTCAGGCATCCAATTCAACAAAAACAACAGCTCCCCTAAACAGCACCAGCCTTAACAATTCTTATGCATTTCTACTAGCTGTAATATTACAGTGATCCACTATATATTTGTTTTATTTTGTTTCCTTTTGTTTTTCTTCTGTTTTCTTCTCTCTGGCTGTCTCTGATGCTACTCTCCTTTCGCCTTATGCTCTCATTCTCTCTCCTGCTCTAGACGTTCCCTTTTCCCTTCCATGTATATATATATATATATATATA